CTTGAGCTGCCGGCGCTCCGCGAAGTCCGCGGGGCGGAGGGGCGGGGGGGGAAAGAGAGAGAGGAAGCTCCGGAACAAGAACCGCCTTCAGAGAAAACAAGAGGAAACATCGTTTCCTCAAATAACTTGCCCTGCTTCCTAACCTGTACTACTATTGCAATTCGGGTGAGCCGCCTTGGGTCCCTTTATGGGAGGAAGGGGGGAGTGCAAATGGGAGGAGATACTGTATAGACAGACCGATGGCTGAGAGTGTGGAGGGAGGAGAAATTCCTTTGATCCCTGCTTTCTAGGGAGTTCCTGGATCTCTCTCCAGAAAACAAGGGGGGGGGTCCCGTTGGCTTCAAGGGTCAAGGTGCCTGTTTCAAAATCTCTTCGGGGGCTTCAGCTTTTTTTCCCGCCCACTCACTGCCCTCCCCAAACTATGTGAGATGACATCTTGGCGACGACGAAAAAGTGATAAAAGGCATTACCTCTCCACAGGGTGCATTCCTTCCAAGCTGCTGTCTCCGTGCAGTCCATTTGCGAGCGAAGCCGCGGATTATCTCCCGAGGCGCAACCCTCAGACAAACACAAGCACCTCTGCAGCTTCCGGATCACCAAAGGTCTCTTAGGGTGTGGTTTTTTATAAAGGCTACACCTGGGTTGTTAATTTTTACAAGTAGCACAGGACTAACTACGCACGAATAACAAAATACATTATTAACAAAATGGTCTTGATTTTTTAAAAAATGTAGTGGCCAAAAAAAATCACTAAAAATTCGTTGCGCCCAGCCATATTTAACTGTAACGTAAAGGATGGGTGCAGGATTATAAAATTCGGTAATAAATATGAAGCAGTGGGACCTGCTCTCGGCTGCCTCTGTGTGGAGCGTGGATCCCACTGTTGAAAGTATTAGCCACATATATGCACCTCACTCGCCCGCCCACCCCATGCTCCGTCCCCATCCAGAGGAAAGAAATATTCAGCTTTCTGTAGCCCCCAAGCATGCCCTGGGCTTAACTGGGTTATATGTTTGGTGTGTATGTGTGTGTGTGTCCCTTTTATTTTTGCAGAGGCATGTTCACAGACGTCAAGGCTCCTTTGCCACTTGGTTCTTGCGGATGGATGGAGCTGGTTGGGTTACGGAGGAAGAGGCAGGCCAGAGCTGACCCAACCCCTCTCTGGTCCAGCCTTCCATCTGGACAGTGGCCAGCAGGATGTCCTCATGGGAGGACCACAATTAGGAATTCAGGAGCCCATACATCACCCCTCCCACCTCTGCTTGTTTTAAGGTGATATCTCCCAGATCTAGGACTCCAAGCAGCATGAGACATGAGTTTAAAAAAAGACATGCTAAAACGCAGTGGGCTCTTTTAATGTCAAAAGAGAACGAAACAGATTGCGTGCTGTTGCCCCCACCTTCTTGTTCTCTCGCCTCTAATCTCCATGTGCTGACACCCACCCACCCATGCCTTAATCTGTATCCCCTAATTCAGGTTTCGTCTGCTCCGAAGGTGACACCGGGGGGGGGGTGTCTCTTATTTTCTGCACCTCTTACCAACCTGCTGGGATTCTGCTTTGGGCACTTTGCAGCAGAAACGGCCTGAGCGTGTTGTGCCTCCCCACTCCCCCCCCCAAAAAAGACATTGGCCCATTTTACTTTAAGCAGACAGCATTTTAGTATCTGAGGGATTCTCTCACCGAATGATAGCAAATGCTTTTGACACAGCATTGACTCCTTGTTACGATCCAAGAAGTCTGGGCAGATTTAATCTCTCCCCTGAGAAGCAGAGGTTTGTGTTTTGGGAGCAGGTGGCTGCTTTTGGGCAATCTCCCGGGGATCCCCTGGGGAAACCACGGCCCAGCGTTCCTGCACCGTCTGCACCAGCTTTGCAAAGGGGGCACCCGCTGTGTGGGCAGCTCCGCCACCTTCACTTTTGAATCCCTGTTTCACACGGTTTGATTTGGGCTGCTGCCTTCTGCCCAGTTCTGCTCCTTCATAACGCCTCCGGCACCCTCTTCATTTTTTTCTCCACTGCCCACCTAATGGTCTTACTGGGAGCTGGTGAAGTTTCCAGCAGAAGCTGGAGGAAAAGAAGGGCCCGCGTTTGGCCCAGCAAGCTCCCTCCCACGCGTGTGGGTCTCCTCCATGCTCCTTTAACCCAGCGAGGTGGGTCAGGCTGAGGGAGCACGATGACGGGGAGTCCAACATCGCCCTGTGAGTTTTCCTGACTCCATGGCAGGGGAAGTCTGGATCTCCCAAGGCCCCCCCAGCCGCTGGGCCCTCCGGCTGCTCCAGCACACCGGTTCCTTCGCATCACGTATACCGCCTGTAGGTAAATTAAAAGCAAGACAAAATGGGGGTGGGGTGGGTGGGAGAGGAGGAGCAAAGCATGAATCCTTACCTGCTGACTGGGAGGATGGCCCCTTTTATTTGATCCGGTGGTCAGACTAATAGAACAGACAGGTCCTGCTTTTTGGAAGAACGGTTAACTCCCTGCGCTCACAAGCCTGGAGCCCAGGGATTTCCAGTTTACTCCCACCAAGGACGGAAGGCCTCTGCCGAGGAGGCGGCCAGCTTGTCATATCGGCCAATGGTTGAAAAATAATATCTCTCTCCCCCCNTGCTCTTGTAGTCTTCAGCCCACCAATGCAGTCTAAATCCCTGGCATTTGTTGTGGATGGTGGCCTTAATCAAAAGGCAGGGGAACGTTCTCTGCTCCTAGGGGGCAAAATGGGAAGCTCCCGAAAGGTGGTCTTTGAGCCTGGGGGAACCCCCTTCCCAGGCTGCCCCCGCCCCGCCCCACCCCAGCCAGTGTGGCCAGGTAGGGGCTTCAGAGGGGCGTCGTCTCGGCAAGCATGTGTTCAGAGTCCTGGGAGCTGCCGCGTCCCACACCTGCCTCCTGGGCCCTCTCATGCTACGTTACCAGCAGCCTCCTGGGTTTTCCAGAAAGGGCCGGCTCCTGGAGGTGCCGGTGGGAGTGGGCTGGTGGGAGAACCTGGCACTTTCTGCATCCCAAGAAGGCCTCTGCCCTTCGGATGGCCCTTCTCTCCCCCCCCCCAGAACAGAGGCCAACCTGAAACCTTTGGGGGGGTCTCTGCCCGCCCCACGGTCTTCTTCCACCAGCCTCATGGGTCAGCTGCGCTGCAACCAAACGGATCAGTCGCTGCCCGTGTGTGTCCGGAACCCACAGGCTTGGCATATGGGGAGCTCCCATGGGGCACGGTGTAGACGCCCACCTCATTAATCTGTGGGAGAAACCCTTTGCTTGGCAACCCTCTGAAGCAGGGCATCACTGGAGCCTGGGAGGAACCCGTTCCCTGTAATTAACTTGCGCTCCATTTCACACTCGCCCCCCCCAGCCACCTGGCATGTGTGCCACACAATCAAAGCACTGCTTTTGCGTGGGGAGGGGGGAGTCAACTGATTTCAAATCACCACGCTTTGCAACCCTTTGGGGGCTTATTTCAGCCAATTATCTCTGCCGTTTGCACCCTAGGTCCCTTTTTGAAAGTCGCCCTAAACCCAGCTCGACACCGGATGCCCTCGCCACCTTCTTCAGGGCTGGAGGTCAGGAGGAGAAGCCGAAGAAGAGGCGCTTTCCGCTCCCCTCGGCCGGGCTCTGTTGCCACACAAAGGAGGCCGAGGAATGAGGACAGCTCACACAAGACAGAAGGATGGATGGTGATGGCAGCGCAGCCTCGGCCAAGGGAACAGCTTGCTTTCGGAGCGGAGATGCCAAGAGTGCTCAGAAATCGCAGCTGCGGCCGGGACGGGAGAGGATTCTGGGTAACTGGCAGGCGACTCGAACCAGCTGGCAGCCCCCTCCCCTTTCCCAGCGATGCGTTGGGGGGAAGCCTGAAGCTTGGGGAAGTTACCTGTTTTGCAGAACGGTCCAGTTCGCTGGATGCCGCTGCAAAGAGGGCAAGCTTGCCCCCTCCCCGGGGTCGTTCTAGGATGCGGGAGGGCAGGGCCCCCTGCCTGTTCCTTGGCTTTTTTTTTTTAACGAGACCCCTAAGATGCACCCACAGGACCGCCTGGTGGGAAAGACACTCGACCAGAAGGAACTACCCCCCCCCCGCAACGGTTTGTGAGTGTTCCTCTGGAAGGTTAGTCTTACTTGCCAAGGGTGTTGGGAAATATAAGGGTATTTTTCTGATTGAGAGCTCACCCCTCCCAAAACATTTCCCCCACATCCTGTTCCCATCAGTTACTTTGGGCACATTGTGAGAAGACAAGAGAAGCTGGGAAACGAAGGAGAACAAAAAAAAAACTTAAGTGGAAAAGAGAAGGTAGCAGGGAAGGAGGAAGGTCAAACATGAGATGGGTCACTCTGTTAAGGAAGCCACAGGCTTGTGTTTGCAAGAGGCGAGCAGGAGGGCTGAGGGCAGGGCCTTCATGGGGGGGCGCGTCTCTCGTTCATAGGGTCACCATAATTTGGAAGTGACTTCATGGCACAGAACCACCACCTTTCCAGTCATTGAAAGCTTCTACAGCCTAACGAGTGCACTCCTCAGGCCAACTGGATCACCAATAATATCTTGAACGAGCCATTTCCACCCGTTGGGGATGGCCTGTGGGTGGCCGAGGCCGCGGAGGCCTCTTCTCATCCTACCGTTGGTGCTATCTCTCGTCTGGAGAGCCAAAACTGCTGACAACTCATCAAAACTCTCTCCCTTTGTCTCAAATATATATATATAATGGGTTTTTAATTAACTTCTTGTTTCAGTGGGGGGATAATGAGTTTTATGCACCACATGACTCCAGTAAAGAGGTCATGCTTGGCAAGGCGGATGTTGAAGCAAATTAAGCTAGAAATCAGGAAAAGTTTTCACTGGAGGAGCAGAGCAGCCAAAGGGGGGGGGGGGAGAGCTGGCCATTGGGAGGCAGGGCCTCTTGACCCCTCATGCCAGGCAGGCACGCACACACACGCACATGCACACACAGGACCTCACTCTCCTCCTCTCCATCTGAAGAAGAGGCACAACCGGAAGACGTAGGGACCCTGTCCTCTTCCAGCCTCCGCCGTTGATCCCGGGATTCTTTGGGAGCCTGGCGCCTCCGGGAGGGACCTGCTCAGGAAAGCCTGGATGAGCCTGCCTAGCCCGGTCCATGCCCACCGCGACCTACCCACCCCTCGCCCTGGTCTGCGCTGGCTGGTCAGGGCACCCACACGTCTCCTCCGGAGAAGGGTCTTTCCTGCCCTCTGTTCCCAGATCGGTGTCGCTGGAGGTGGGGCTGGGG